GGTCATTCCGGTAATTTGCTGAGCAGTAATCGAATCTCGTTTAGTTGCTCGAGAATCTGTGGAGGAATCGATGGACTCATGATGAAGGGTTGGGAGCTGTAATTATTAGCTCCACCCGAGAGCTGGCCTTACAGACTTTTAACACAATCAACACGGTGCGGGATTCTTTTTTTCATTACCCCGAATTTTAGATCGGAAAATATCATGATTTTTCGTGCTGCTTAATGATTGGAGGCGGGACCGACATCGAATTCGAGAAGGCCCGTATCGGGCGGATGAACATTATCGTCTGTACCCCGGGTCGGCTACTTCAACATCTCAACGAGAATGAGACGTTTTACGTTGGTTGATCACTATATTCATTCACATTTTAGCCGGAACAGCTCCAAATTCTCGTGATCGACGAGGCTGATCGAATTCTGGACATGGGCTGGTGCAAACCGAGGTGTGATTTACTTTGAACGCTGAGAATAAATTGTAGATGAACGCGATCGTCGAGTCGTTACCAAAAGAAAGACAAACCCTCCTTTTCTCAGCAACGCAAACGAAGAATGTTGCTGATCTGAGCCGCGTTTGCACGAAGGTTTCCTGTCATCCCTGAGCTAGGTTAATTTATTCTGTAGGACCCTGTCTTTGTGTCCGTGCACGAGGAAGCGGACAGCGCCACACGGACAAGTTGGAGCAGCTTTATCTGGTCTGCGAGGAAGAACAAAAGGTATTTTAGCCAAGTCTTCCGAACTTGAGATTACAGCTAAACATCCTATGGTCATTTATCACTGCACATCGCAAGGCAAAGACGCTGATTTTTGTTAGTACGTGCAAGCAGGTATTTCGACTACTTATGCCAACATCTCCTGTAGGCCCGCTTCATCTATGAAGCCTTCCACAAATTAAATCCGAGCGTGATTTTATTGGGTCTCTGGGGATCCATATGTAGCAAAGCAAGAGGATTGAGGTTCATGAGAGCCGTTTTTTCTTATATTATTTTTAGGTTTTTGGAAAATATCAGAAAACCTTCCACGCTTGTCTAGTCGCGACGGATGTGGCAAGTCGCGGTCTTGACTTCAGTGGCGTGGATTGGGTTGTCCAAATTGATGCACCTCCGGAAATCGATGATTACATCCATAGGTTACCTCAAATTCACACTGCATATTTTTTCCTTAGGGTTGGCCGTACCGCACGTATGGATAAGGGTGGCGAATCATTGCTATTCCTTACGCCTAATCCAAGAAGAACCTATGGGAATGGTAGCGTGTTGAAACAGCGCAGATCCTATGTTAGCAAAATGGAGTAGGCGATCGTCATTTTTCATAACGAAAATTTAGCGTTGACCCCCGAAGCCAAAAAAGATATGCGAGCGAAAACTGCAATCGACTTTAGCCCACCATCCTGAGCTTCACGACTTTGCGCAAAGGGTATCTTCGTCTTTTGTTACCATTTTTTTCTGTCAGGCCTTTGTATCCTCCCCGTTCGGTCCGGTATTTGTGATGAAAATAAGGACGTTTTTGACGTGGAGAAAATTCACACCAAAGAACTGGCAGAATCGATGGGGCTAGTTTCCGTGCCCAGAATCAGGTTTTTGAGGCGCCAAGGCATCGAACTCGGAAAGGAGGTATTTTTTGGAGATCTTGGCGAGTACTCTTTTTTTTAGAAGCCCACTAAACCTTCGGTCGAATTTTCTGCTGGAAATGGTTTCGGCGATTTGGTTGACGATATTGCCGCAGCTGATTTGTTTGCCGTCAAGAAAAAGGACATTTTTGCGGTCGAGGAAGAGGCCGAGGCAGAGCCGGAAGAAGAAAAAGAAACCGCAGAAGAAGGCCCGCATCCTAACAGAAAGAGGAATTGGCTCATAAAAGATGAGGCTAACAAGAACGTCAAGGTAGGATTTTTTAACTTGCTGCCTGATGCTCGTATTGTTAGGTGAACACACGTACGGTATTCGAGGACCCGGAGGATAGCGATGGAGGTGAAAGGGAGGTTGATAGACCAGCTGCTGGCCCGTCGGAAGGATTGGATATCGAAGAGGCCAAGAAGGAAAAGGCGCTGAAGGACAAGGTTTGCCGCTTATTAAATCCTAATCTTTTTTAGGGTGATCGAATTGCCTATAGAGCTCGCTTGAGAGAACTAAAAGAAACAGAAGAAACCCAAAGGAAAGGAAAACGAAGGTAAAGCTGATTTAATTTTAGTTGAGTTTATTTTCTAGACCAAAAAGACGGAAGACGAGGAGCTGGAGCTGGGAGACGATGATGATCGAAGCGATGATGAGGGTCCGGACCTATCGTGGCTTCCGAAGCCGATCGGCTATGATAGTGATGAAGAAGACGGTAACTTAACCTCTTTTCTCAATGCTTCTTCTCATAGATTTGCCGGCCGAGTACGACCCCTCGCTAGACACGAAACTCGAGGAGAAGAGGGCCAAGGCACTCGACAAACAAAAGGTTTGCATTTGTTAACTCCTATCATTCCTCGGCAGAAACGTCCTGCGGCACCGGTGAACGGGATGGCGAAGAAGATGAAGCGCTCGGCGGAGTTGTCCTCGATGGCTGACGTCGAGCAGCAGGCACTCGCCCTGCTCAGCCCATTTTAGGCAATTGTTATGCTCACAAACTTGTTGATTTTTGCTTGGTGTTTTTGTTGATTTGTCTGTTGGATTGAATAAATCGTCGCAATCAACAAATGGCTGTTTTTTTCTACGGGTTCTGTGCCCTCACTGTGCTTTTCTGATTGAATTGTGAGGTTTGTTGTCGCGGTTAGAGGAGCAAGTGAACTTTTCTAGGATGACGGTCTACTATCCAACGCAAAAGATCGGTCCGTCCGATGTGCAGCATCGGAAGACGAACAAATCTGCGCTATATTGGAAGCGCAATGAAGAGGTGTCCGCATTTGCCGAATCGACCCACATCACCTCCCATTAGCCATCTCTCCAAAAGCGCCTCACCATATCCGCGTGCACGAGCGGCGTTCGTCTGAACTTCTATGACGCCCATTGGTGTGTTTGGTTTTTATAAATAGGCAGTTTCTACTTCTAGCAAAAATAAAAAATTTCTACGGGCTCTTTTCGTAAAATAAGCTTTAAACAAGGTGGTTGAAT